TAAGGAAAAGGGGATGGCGTATTCTCTTAGCTACTTCCTGCTGAAAAGGGACGCTGTGGGTTTCAGGGTGAATGTCTTCTCTGACTACTCTAAAGGGCCCCTTTGGCAGTAGGAAACACATAGACTATTATGGAGATTGATTTTGGAATTTAGATGCACTCAAACTTTATTTTGAAGACTATCTTAATATTGTACATATGTCTCTTATGGCTGTCCTTATTTGACTGTCTAGAAAAGAGTCCATCTAGTCATAGTGTCTTAACATCTAGAAAGAAAAAAGTTCTGCCAAGAAAATACCATTTATCTTAGTAACATACCTTTACACTTACGAAATCTAAATGATACCAATCTTTCTCTCCTCTTTGTAAAATTCAAATGAATTTTTGAGAACTTGAAAACACTTTTCCCGTCGTGTTTATTGCACACAGTGAGACATAATTTTTACCTTTATTATTTTTTTTAATATACACCTTTTGTTTAATAGGTCACTGATCCGAAGCAACCTCTTTCCTTTGGCGTTACACTGAGAGAACTTAGTCTGTTGGTAATGTTAACTTTATTTTGAATGTCTTTGAAACCTGTAATAAGTTATTTAACAATAATTAGTTTTTTAGTTAATTATTCATAATCCACTGACCATAAAGAAAAGCCCAAATCATAGAAGCATACTTTTATTCTTTTTGTAGTGATTAGATGAAGTAGTATGTGTAAGGCATTTGGAACATTGACTCAATTATTTTCTGCTGTTCCTCACTACCTAGCTAGTAAAATGACTATCATAGCAAAGTCACCTCTTCTGTATTAATTTCATTTCATTGATGCATCATTTTATTTGTATTCTAACTCTTATACCGTATCTAAGGTAATATTGCTATTTCTGATTTGGATCCCATTCTTCCCATGTCTTCAGGAACCATTCTTCACCACCCATTCCCTCTCCTCCTCCACCTTCTTTTTCCTTCTTTGATTCTCTTTCTTAAATCTATAACTTTTTTCTTCCCCCCACCCCCAGCTCCTTTATGTAAATTTTTACTATCATTCAAGTCTCTCTTTTGTAAAAAAATTAAAAAACACTCTGTAACTCTACCCTTCCCATAAACTCCAACTGGCTTTACTTAATTTCTGCCTGTTTTTCCTCCCCTTTCCAATCAGACTTTCTTTAGAGAGCTTTATACCCTGACTATCTTTATATCTATATATTTTATATAGTTATATATATATGTTGGGGGTATTTTGTTGTTGTGTACCACAGAGTCAAACCAACCCATAGATGACCCTCTAGTGGGTTTTCAGAGGCAGTTAATCTCACGGGAGGAGATTCCCCATCCTCCTCCCACAGAGCAGCTGGTGGCAGCGCAGCTTCTTTGCACTAGGCCACCATAGCCCCCCCATATATATTTATAATTATATCTTTCTTCCACTGACACCGTATCCACTGTTATTGGACTGCATTACTCACACAAATTATTCTAACCGTTTCATCAATAGCACTCTTGCAGTTAACTTAGTTTATCTCATTGCAGCATTTGATACTGCTTACTTGGGTGCTTTCCTGGAAACAAATGTATTGTAATCTACATATTCTCTTTTCTTTCTTCCTATTTCACAATAACCATTTTAGACTTTTGTCTATAGCTGTAAGTCAGTTGGTTATTTTAGTTTTACCCATTCTTTCTGTAGTTAAGCCACATAACACCTTGGTGATTTTTTTAGGAACTAATGAATATATAAAATCAAGATTAAATTAAAAAATCATTTTTTCTACTTTCATTCTTGTGGTTTTTCTATATTAGTATATAGAGAAAGAATCTGTGCTAATGTATAAATAGCAGGGACTTGGTATGGATGGCCATAATGGAACTTTACCAGCTTCACAAAGGGGAACTATCCCCATCAACAACATCAACAACATCAAACCAATTCTTATGAGACTAGACTTGTTCCCCACACTCCCAGGCCTCTTTCTACTCATCCAAACACTAATCTTATTACTTTACTGGCTCCAAAACACAATGAAGTAGCTCACAGACCACATAGAACCCTATTGTTGTTGTTAAGTGCCTTCAGGTTGTAGATAACTCATAATGACTTTATGAATGAAAGTCTTGAATATGAAAAGCTTTCATCTTTACGTTTATAGAGTTTCCAGAGGCAAGCCATTTTGGAAGTGGATGCAACTCCTGCTTCCAAGCCTGCTCTATTTGGGGAGCTCCACCAAACACTGTCTACCATGGGTAACCATTATCATACTTGACACATCAGTGTCACAGTGTTTACCTTCACAGCAACCACTGAGTTGCCTTTCTTCAGCAAATTGCCAGACCTTTGCTATACTACTTAGAAGAATGTTTGACTGAAAACAATTAAAACTAGGCCTGAGGGCTGCAGGTCCGATGGCCCAAATGCCTTTTTAAACAGGAGGCCTACTCTACTGCACCCAGTTTCAAGCAATGGCCACACCCAAGTCTCACCTCCACACCAGAAAACAAACCTTAGCAGAATCTGGCCACTCCATTCATCTTCCCAGTCTGAACCCTATTAGATAAATAAAAATGTTATTTTTCAGGTTAGTAGCAGAATATAGTCACTTAGTCAGGACAGCTTCCAAAATATGCTCCCTGTCATCTCAACCTTGAACCTTGTGGCTTTAGGCTTCTGTAAGAAACTCTCAGTTCTGTCAATTATGGCTCTCCTCCTCCTCTAGTTGTCCAACAGCTTGGGTAGAAGCTCCTAGATTTGGTTCCATGGGCTGTAGCAGTGCCAAGGTCTGCTCCATCTGATGTCAGACTGCTACTCCACTGTGGCTGCTGTGGTTGCTTTCTCCAGCAAGCTCTGGTCTGACTGGCGCAAGACTCTCTGGTACCAAAAGACACGTTTCATTCTCTTGCTTCTTATTTGCTGATGGTGAGGTTCTCTCATTCTGCATCTAGAGCCGTTCAAAGATGAGACTAACCAATCCCCTTGTGGATAGGCTAACATGCCCCATTGGTAAATTCCCTACCTATCCACATGGCAAAGTCAGTTAGTGGCTCGTCTAGCCATTTTGAACAATAGACTCTTAACATCACACTTAAATGTCTATTCTAAGTTTGTTTTACTGCAGTTTAAAACTATTGGGGTACTGTTGCATGAAGTTAAGACATTTCTGTAGTTTTTTTTTATTCTTTTAGACAGCAAATGAACATTGGACTCCATGCATATTAAATGAAGCAGACAAAATTATATACAAGGTATGATATTCTGTTAGAATAAATTTTATGAGTTACATAGATATAAACAGCATACATTTTCTTCAAGTACTTGTGATAGAAGAGAACATATCTTTGGGGTGTGAATTAAAAGTCTAGCATCTAGTTTCAGCTTTGTTACTTTCTAGTATTTTGTCCTGTTATGATCATTCACCCTCTTTGAGCTTTACATTTTTTACCTATCAAATGAAGAACCTAGGTAAAAAAAATAATTACTGAATAGTGTTTTCTGGAACATGAGGTAATTGAAAGATCTTAGAAAAAATAATTTCTAGTCAAGTAAGGTTACTACTGGTTTATGTACTGAGTTGTACATAGTTTAGTAGGATTTTACAATGCTTTAAAATATGCCAATAATTTTTTCTGAATTCTCAAGAGGGGTATATTATGTAGTTTATTGTTTTTTCAACCTTATTACCCACAGTTTACTGTTCTTCTCTAGCCTAAAACAGACCCTGATATTTGCTGGAGGGGTCACATCAGTTTTATTCAACAAAATATTTACACAACCTGTTGGATAGTAAATTAATAAGTACATGATAATTAAAGGAATGAATCTCTTGAATTAATTAAGTGAATTTTTTCTTCAAAGCACAGAAAGCAAACATCAGACCATAAATAAATTACATGAATGATCTGAATGTATTTTCCTTCAGTTTTGCATTATATTTCTTTCTCCTTTAAAAGTTTCAAATGGCATTTGGATCATTTGGGATATTGAGTATTAGAATTATTTTTAATATTTATTTTTAATTTCAATATGTTAATTGCTTGACCTCTTCCATTTTTTTTTTTATAGCTTATACGACTTGATAGTCTTAGCACCTACTGGAATGTAAACTGCAACATGTCCTACCAAGGATCAAGGGAACAGATCTTGGTAATTTTCGATTATACATAAAAGAGACAATTGTATACACCTTACATTTATTTAATGTAATGGTTCTTTAATAAGGACATGATAGCATCCAGCTATTTAGCTTGAGTATAAGTCAGAAGAGCGAAATTAACTTTTATGGAATCTCTTACATGTTTTTGAAAAATCCATTTTTTTAAAATGCCTGTGAAATAATTCACTAGGTGGTAAGATGAAGACACTTTTAGTAATACTGTACCATTAACATTGTATTTATGGTTGGCACACTATTTAGTTATCTTTAGTGTCACATTGTATTTTATGTGACAGTGATTACTTTAGTCATAATGTACATAAAGAGAATGCTTTTCAGATCTAAAGAATATATTCCTGACATATATTTTAAGCAGTTGTGATTATGATTTCTGAATGTTATCATGCCCTGTAAAGTAGGAGCTGAATCATCCTGACCCTCCAGAGGGTTTTCAGAGGCAGTAAATCACAAGGGAGGAGGTTGCCCAACTTTTTCCCACAAAATAGCTGGTGGATTTGAACTGTTTTTCTTTGGGTTGGCAGTGAAATTTCTTACCACTAAAACCACCTGGACTCCTGATTTCTGAATAATGAAAGACTAACCCAAACTTGAATGTGTTTAGCCAATCTTAATGAGGTTTGTTAACCTCAGTGAAGAATTGAAGAGCACTTGAATTTTCTAAATTGCGTTTATTCCAAGATTCTTAGCTCTCAAATAAGGGTAGAACAAATAGTTTTTTATTGACAGTAAGGTTTTCGAGATACCAGATATGTTTGTATATATGTTCTACCCTTATTTGAGGAATGCAATTTTATGTTTCTGTATAGTTAGAATTAAAAAAAAATTAATATCTTCATTCTTAACATGTTTTTTAAAATTGGCTACTTAACAAAGAAAGGATATTGATTTCAGGTGTGTTTTTTTGTGATTGTTCATGTATGCATTTCCTTTTTTCATTCTCATGAAATATTTTTTTTTTGTTTTTAGGATCAACTAAAAAGTGAAATTCTCACAAGTAACAATAAACGCCCAAACCATCAATACAGTAAGTAAGGATAAAAAAGTTAATTTTATATTATAGAAATTTAGAATTAAATACCTTACTTGTAAATAGTTATTTTATAAAGTTTCTTAGACACAAAGAATGTATTAGTTTTTTAAAATTAATTTTTTAAAGGTGAAAGAAAAATAATTTTATTAGAAAAGATACATAAGATACATTTCACTCTGGGATTGGTCAGTGCTTTAAAAGTACAGAGTTTGAGGAAAGGTAGAGAGTATATAAATTTTATGTCTTAGTTTTTGATGTAGTATTTATTTTATTTTATTTTTTTAAATTTTATTATTTTTGTGTGAGTGTACCTTCAAATCAGATCTGACTGGTACAGGAGGAGATTGTCCCTCCTTCCCCAGCAGAGCATCTGGTGGATTCGATCCTTGCACCTCTGGGATTGTAGTTGCAGCTCCTTGCCAGTAGGCCACCAGAGCTCCCCTGATGATGTAGTATTTTTTTTATAATTGACAGTTGCTATGGATTACATGTAATGTGGTCACTGCTGGAGAGGGAAAGAGTGTGGTTCATTTGACATAGTCAACTCTCCTTGACTTCCATGTTTTTTTCTTACCTTGTTATTCTCTAATTTTTTTTCAGAATTTAGGCTTGGTTTTGGGGGTATCTTTGGTAACTAAATTTCTGAAATCTTGATGTTTGGTCATAGCTAGTATAGCTATTGCAGTCTAAAATCATATTTACCACTTGAGATCTATTAAGAGAGTTTTTCTACTTCTTCTGTGCTTTGTCTTTATTTTTGAATAAAGGCATTTTTGACAAAGCTGGCTGCTTATTTGTTTTTTTTTAAAATCCTGTTTTCTCCATTTTCAGTTCCAGTCTAAAGCAGTTCTTGGTTTCTGTTTACTGTTTCCCTCTATGATCATTTTCTGTTTCATGCCCACCTTTTTTCATTGTCTGTGTTAGTCTGGCTCACTAATGTATTCTTATAGTTAATTTCCATTTGATGATTTAATATTATTCACTTAAAATTTACCACCTTAACCCTGGCACTCCTATCATGTTTTGCAGTACATTTCATACTACTACTAAACTTAAAAATTATTTTTTAGCTGATTTTCATAGTACATATTTAATAAATCATTTTGGAAATATTTGTGTGAGTTTGCAGGTTTTTTAAGGTAATCTGAATTTTATTCATGATTCTATTTCCTGTTAGTGATTTATTAAAGAAGACATACATTAATAAAATTAATATTCTTTCCTTTTACTAGTATTTTTAATGAATAATGGTTTGTAACAAGGAAAAGAAACCTAATTTTGTACAGGTTTTTTAGTAGCCAGGAATAGATTGTGTACATATTCTGCATTTCTTACATCAAAATAGGGAGTCACTTTGTTCCCAGGATACTGTCGCTCTTACCATTGTTCTTGATGTTTAGTATTATTAAATGTATTTTTTAGAGAGTTTTGGTGGCTTAATGGTTAGGAACTGTGCTGCTAAATAAAAATGTGTAGTTCGAATCCACCAGCTGCTCCACAAGAGCAGTGTAATCTTCTCCCTTGTAATGTTCTCTTTCCTCTGTGTATGAAAACCTGCGGAAGGGTCAGCAGTGGAGTGGTTCTCAAGTGATGGTACATGACGGTAACAGACAGTGTCTTTTTTTATTTTGATTTGGTTGCACATAATTTTTGTAACTGTTCTTTACAACCAGTGTAATAGCATTCTCATAATTCTTTGTAATAGACTTCATATGCAAGGCATATAAACATACCTTCTATCTTTCCGTGTTATTTAAGTTTTCCAGCCATTATCAGCCTCTGCAAAACTATATATGAATCCGAATGCAGAAACAGAGCTCAAAACACCCAAGCTTGATTGGAACATAGAAGTACAAAATATTGCCATTGAACTGACTAAGCCTCAGGTGAGTTTAATTGGACATTTATAGCTTTGGTTACACTAAAAATTGGCTCCCTTTTGCCCTTGGCGCAAATTTATTTATTTTTTTCATTCTTTTGGGTTTTTTTTTCCTGTAATGTGTAGATTTGGGTTATTTTTTTTTAAAAAAGATAATAAAATTAATATTGAAGAAATAACTTTCTAAATTTTATCTAATGTTTCTCTAAACTGTGGAGAATCTTATCAATAGTGAATAACTTTATTTCTATTTGGTTGGAAAATTTTAATGTGTTGTTCCTTCCATATTTTTTAATGGAGACTTTGTTACCATATGTTTTTGGTTTTTTTTAAAGGCAGTAACAGCTATGACAACTTTTCCTTATTATTTGTTCCTGAAGCTTGATTATATACCCTGACAGTTTGAGTGATGGGCCTAGAGAATTACAAGTGAAAGGAGGGCAGGGAAGCTGGCTGTTTGAGCTGCACCTTTAGTACTGTACAATACAAATGATAATGTAGATGACATAATAAGGACACTTTTTCTTTATTAGCTACATTAGAAAAGATTGGAAAAAATTAATTAATTAAATGATTTTTTAGTTAGAAGGAGCCTTGGTGACATGGTAAGTTAAGTGCTGGGCTGCGAGATGAATTGGTGGTTTAAAGAGGCCAGCCATGGACAAAGATGACAGTCTGCTCTGGTGAGGGTTTATTCCTTTAGAATTTCCTCGCGTAATTCCCTCTGTCATATAGGGTTGCTCCATAGTGAGTATTTTATTTAGTTTAATATATTCAAACATTATAGTTTCAACATAAAAATTTTCAGGGATATTTTACATCCTTAAATTTTTGTTTAAAGTTTTTGGTATCTGGAATTTATTTTATCCCTACTTTACATTTAAATTCAGACTGTTGTTGTTGTTATGTGCTGTCGAGTTGCTTGTGACTCATAGTGACCCTATGTACAATAGCCCTAAACCCTGCTCTATCCTGTGCCAATCACACTGCCTCTGACACACCCCCAGGCACTGAATCAGTCCGCCTCATAGAGGGTCTCCCCTTCTGCACCGTCCCTCCACCCTCCCAAACATGATGTCCCTCTCAAAGGACCTGTCCCTCCTTACAACATGTCCAAAGTATGTAAGACGAAGCCTCAGAATCCTTGCCTCCAAGGAGCAGCCTGGTTTAACCCTCTCCAGGATGAATTTGTTTGTTTTCTTGGCAGTCCAGAGTACATTCAATATTCTTGTCCAGCAGACTACACTATTTTAAATGCTTAATAACCAGATGATAACCCTTAGTTAGAATCATGTTAACAAGAGTTATAAAAAATACATGGAGAGGCGGCGAAACTAGACTTGCCTCTTTTCTCTCTCTTACCTGTAATCTTGCTAGCTGTGTGATGGTTTCGCTTCTATTTTACCAGATCCACAGAGTTGCTGTGTGTTTGGCAAGATGTTTGTAGATGTATCTTTATCTTGCTTTAGTTATATTACAGGGATATTGTTGAGCAATTGAGTATCAGCTCATAGATTGCTATTCCTTAACTGATCTAGAGAAGTACATGATTTTAGAAACATACATTCCATGATAACAGTTTATAGGTCATATTTCAATGTTCCTGAGAGAAATTTTTAATATATTAGTGTGTAAAAAACTAGAGTGTATGGTTATATAGATGGATATATGGATATATGCATATATATCTTGTGCTCAGAAGAGGTTGAGGGACAGCGCAAGAGAGTATGACCCTGGTTGAGGTGGACTGATATGGTAACTGGGGCAGTAGGGATAGGTGTGTTGGAGTCAGTGAGACCGGTTCAGGACAGGGCAGGCTTAAGAGCTGCTGTTCATAGGGTAGCTGTGAGTCACAGGGGACTCAACAGCACCTAATAACAACAACCTGTTATTACTTTATTAGTCAGAACTTTTTTACTTTTGTGATGTAGCTATTGTTGTTGCTGTTGTTAGGTGCCATTGAGTTGAGTACAACTCATTGTGACCCTGTGAACAAAAGATCTGAACCCGGCTCTATCCTGCACCATCCCTGCACTTCCTGACACACAAGAGCCAATTGTAGCAGTCACTGTGTTGTTCACCTGGTTGAAGGACTTCCTCTCCTTTGCCAACCCTCCACCTTTCCCAGTATCATGTCACTTTCCAAGGACTAACCCCTCCTTGCAACATGTCCAAAGTATGTGAGGCGAAGCTTCATCATTTTTACTTCCAAAGAGCACTCCAGCTGCACTCACTCCAAGACATCCATTTGTTCTCCTCAATGTCCACGGGAGGTTCAGTGCTCTTCTCCAACACCCCAGCTCAAAGATGTTAATTCTTCTATCATCTTTATTAATTGTCTAGATCTCAGATGCATAGAAAGTAATCAGAAATATATCGGATGTACCTTAGTCCTCAAACTGACATCAGTACTCCTCCGTAATTTGGAGAAGTCCCTAAATGCAGATTTTTCCAATGCAATGCATTTCCTTATTTCCTGACTGCTGGTTGTTATGATATTGTACAATATTAAAAATAATGCTGTAATTAATAGTGCCTTAAATTTGCTATATATGTTACTGTGTTAACAGTCAAAAGTGGTATTTATTGTTTAGAGGATTGAGAATTGCCTTAGATTGTAAACCAGTAATATTTTGATGTTTATCATGTATTCAATGTAATAATACGTATTTTTGTTTGTTTGTTTTGATAGTATCTAAGTATGATTGACTTTTTGGAGTCAGTGGATTATATGGTTAGAAATGCCCCTTACAGGAAATATAAGCCTTATTTACCACTTCATACCAATTGTCGACAATGGTAAGTCAGAATTGTTTTTATTTTATCAGAAACATGCATTCTTTCAGTTCAGAAGTTTCAGAATTATATGACCTTTAGGACCGTTTAATCCAGCATCTTGTTGTTGATGTTGTTAAGCAGAGAATTTAGGGATATCTTTCATATGATCATGTCATTTTACTTTTTTTTCTCTAGATTAGTGTAAAATCTTAGCATTTAAGACTTTCCAACATTTTAATAAGTTAAATTCGTATTATAACCATACTACCAAAATCCAACCAGCTCCTGTATTGTTGAGTTGATTCTGATTCACAGTGACCCTCTCATCGAGTTTCTGAGTTTGTAAATCTTTGTGAAGGAGACTGTATGTCTTTCTCATTTGGACCTGCTAGTGGATTCAAACTGCTGACCTGTCAATGAGCAACAAGATGCATTATTCACTGTTACCACAGCTCTTCTAGTGACACTAGAATATGGTTAATTTCCTGTAACATGCAAATTTGTGTCTTTATGATTTTGCTTATGACATGTTCTTTTCCTGAAGTGACTTACTCCTACTTCAGTCTATTTAAGTCAGAATTGTACTGGGGAGACATTAAGTGCTGGTCATTAATTAGGAGACAGTTAATAAAGAAATTGGTAGTATAGCTCTAAAATGTCAAAGTTACTTTCTTGTTTTTTCTTTGACCATTATATTCACACATGCTTTACAAAATTTGATTTGCAGGTGGAAATATGCTATTGATTCTGTTCTTGAAGTCCATATAAGAAGGTATACACACATGTGGTCATGGAGTAACATAAAAAAGCACAGGCAGTTGCTCAAGAATTATAAAGTTGCCTACAAAAACAAACTAATTCAGGCTAAAGTCTCAGAAGAAGTACAGAAACAAATTCAGGTATGTTTTTGAAAGCTATACTTTGTTGTATTGCTTTTAATATTATTTTTAATGAACCAGTGATAATGAAGGAAGAAGTGTAAATGGAACTAAAGGCATTAGTAAAAAAGAAGGCCCCAGGAATTGATGAGACACCAACTGAAATGTTTCAACAAACAGATGCAGTCCTTGACATGGTCAGCAGTCTGTGCCAAGAATACAGCTACCTGGCAAAATGACTGGAAGAGATCTGTATTTGTTCACATCCCCCCAAAAAGGAGATCCAGGAGAATGTGGAAATTATCAAACAGTATCACTAATATCACACTCAAGTAAAATCTTGATCATCCAGAAATGGCTAGAACAATAACCTAAAAGAAACAAATGCAGCCTGGGAATGACCGAGTTATTCTTCTACCAGTCTCAGTCATTCAGTCAGACCGAGTCTGACTTCTACCTACTTCATAAATGAGAATTGTCTCCATCAATAATATCTATTGTACCGTACAAATAACTGCATGATAAGACATGCCACCCTACATGCTCTTGCACTTTTTTCTACCAATCATTAGGTCCAGTATTGCAAATTGACTCAGACTGTTTTGTGAGTTGTGGGGTTTATTAGGGAAATAGATTGGGGAAAGGGGAGGCAAAGAACATTACATAATGCAAGTCCAGGTTTAGTCCACAAGTCTCAACCCAGATTAACAGCAAGACACAATTTTTCAGTTAGAGAAAGTCTAGGTTTTGCTCAGCAGCACAAAGTTCAGCAGCACAAATGCAGGAAGCCTCTGCTTTCTTCAGTCATCCAGCAAACTTTATCTCAGAGCCATTACAAGTCAGCTTTTCTTTCAGTCATCTAACAAGCAAATCCTCTACCCATGGCTCCATCTCCAGGATTCCTCTGGTTACACCTTGCCACAGTCTCTTCACAGCAGTACCATAGATTCTTCACAGTCTTTCCACCAATGTTGTAACCATTTTTTAATAGAGTGGAAAGTGCTCTCTTATATTGACCCCCTACAGCTGTTGATGATTTGTAAGACTGTGTGTCCACAATTAAGGTAGCTGGTGATCATGTCCCAAGAAGGGCTAACACAATGGCTAGAAAAGCCATTTTCAAGGATTCTGATACCCCAGGTACACTGAGAGAGAACTTCCAGAAATTCATGCTGGATTCAGAAGAGACCAAGGCACCAGGAGCATCATTATTGATGCATCATGACTGAAAGCAGAGACTATCCGAAGAATGTCTATTTTTGTTTCATTGACTATGGAAAGGCTTTTGACTGTATGGGCCACAACAAATTATGGCTATCATTGAAAATAATGGGAATCCCAGAACAGGTATCTAGACCAAGAAGCTGTTCTATTTTCTGAACAGAATAAGGAAAAGTGCATTGTTTAAAGATTAAGGTGCATCTGATTCAAGCCATGACTTTTTCATTACTTGCTGTGCATTTTAAAGTTGGACAGTAGTAAGGATGACAGAAGAAGAATTGATGCCTCTGAGATGTGGTATTGGAGAAGAGTGTTGACTGTCCCATGGACAGATACTTTTGGAGAAAAGGATGGCACAGGATAGGGCAGGATTCCTATTTGTTGTTCATAAGGTTGTTAGGAATTATAGTCAACTTGATTGCACCTAACAACAACCAGTAAGGTTTATTTGAAAAGTTGTGGATGAATTTTTATTTCAGTGCTGAGTTGACTACTTAACCAGATGTTCTGATCATAGACTCGTTTCTTTGCATCTCATGTCTTACGCTCTCATTTATAAAATGGAAATGATTTCAGGAGAAGTACATGAGATAACATAAAAGCATCCGGCACACAAATCACCCCAGGAAAGTTAGATTTCCCAATGAGTCAGTATGACTTCATGGCAGTTGGCATCACCACCCACTTTAATGTGAATTTCCCCTGTCAAGTTTTTTCTTTTTATCTGCTTGTTGATTTGTGTAATTTTATATTCTTAGAGTCTGTATTCTTTAGTATAATACTCACTCAATGGCTGTTGAGGTTTTTCTAACTCATAGTAACTTTCCAGTGGAGTACTGAGGCTGTCAGTCTTTATGGGGAGAAATTGCACATCTTTCTGCCTTTAAGTGATTGGTGCATTCAAAGTGTTGATTTTTTTTTTATAGTTACCCACTATGTTGTGCTACACCACTGTGGCTCCTTTAGAACAATGCTTATAAAATAATTTAAAATAGTGGGAGTTCAAAGTATAAAGTAAGATTACTTAACAAGTTTCACTATTCTTGTTTCCTTGCACATATATTACCTGTGAATGGTAATGATCTGAGGGAAGAATTTTTGTTTCATCCTTTTCTTAATGAGCTTTAATTTCTTTGTGAAAAACTTATTTCCCGTATTCTAAGCACTAAAAAAATTTCAAACCAAATGGGTGCTCAAATTTATGCTTAAATTTTCTTTTGATTTTTCATTTTCACTTCATTGTGCTTATGTGAAACCCATACTTGGGCCAGAAGGCAGTTGTCTGAGCAGAGCAGGAAAACACTGCTTGGTTAGCTGAAAGAGAGTACCAGAGAAATGTCTGTCTGTGTTTCATTGACTATGCAAAGGCATTTGACTATATGGATCACAACAAATTGTGGCTAACCTTGAGAAGAATTCAGAACACTTAATTGTGCTCATGTGAAACCTTTTCTTAGACTAGGAGGCAGTGTCAGAAGAGAGCAGGGAAACACTGCATTGTTCAGAATCAGGAAAGGTGTACATCAGGGGTGCATGCTGTCTCCACACCTTTTAAATCAGTATGTGGGATAGATGAGGAGGAATGTAGCATCAGGATTGGAGGAAGACTCATCAACAACTTGTATTATGCAGAAGACACAGCTTTGCTTGCTGAAACTGAGGTGGATCTGAGGTGTTTGCTGCAGAGGGTCAAGGAAGGACTGCAGTCTTGAAAATGGATTGAAGTTCAAAATCAAGAAAATGAAGATTCTCGCCACTGGGCCAATTGGCAGCATCATGATAGATGGAGAAAAGATTGAGTTTGTTAACAATTTCATCTTTTCATATTGCCTTGGGGAAATCTGCTATCAAGGACCTCTCTTAGTACTGAAGAACAATGATGTCAGTCTAGTGACTAAGGTGTGGCTGGTACAGGGCATAGTCTTTGCAGTACTTGCTGTACTTCTGAGAGCTGCACAGTGACTAGGGACAATAGAAGAAGAATAATCAGTGCCTTTGAGTTGTGATTCTGGAGAAGAATATTGGCCATACTCTGGAATGTTAAGAGAACACTCTGTCCTAGAAAGGGTAAAACAGGCTGCTCTTTGGAGGCAAGGATTTTGAAGCTCTGTCTTGCATACTTTGGGTTTCTTTGCTAGGAAGTACCAGTCCTTAGAGAAGGACATAATACTTGGAAGGGTGGAGGGCCACTGCAAGAGAGGAAGACCATGTATTGATTGACTCAGTGATTGAGGTAATGGAGGGAAGTGTGTTGGAGACAATGAAATTGGTTCAAGATAGAGTAGGGTACAGAACTGTTTTACATAAGGTTGCTGTGAAACACAAGCTAGTTGACAGCACACAATAACAAGAACAAACTTTCATAGATCATCATTATTCTTTAATGGACTTGAGAAACATAAAAATCAAAGAAGAAAACATTTTTAATTTAATGATAATTTGACTTGTTAACGTGAATCTGTTTTTTCTTTTTTTTAGGATTTGGAGAAGACTCTCGATGTTTTTAACATAATTTTAGCAAGACAACAAACTCAAGTTGAGGTAATATTTTTAGCAGCTGATTTTTTATTTTAAATGTTAATACCCCTTATTTAAACCTCTGATCAAGAGTATAAGATTTATAACTTTGGATGTTGCTCAAGTAAGAATAGAGGTTTTGATTTTATTGCTTAATTCAATCTCGGGGGAAAGACATGAAATACTGACAAAGGGCCACTAACATGAGGGGAATTGGAAAATGCTAAAAAAGTCCTTAAAAGTAAGAAAAATTCTCACAATTTACAATACAACTATTGAGATTTTTGGACATAAGTTTTTAATTTTCTCTTTCTATATATTAAAACATACATACTCATTCGTCAGTTTTAGCTTTTTATTTTCCTTTACCATTTTTGTCTTTCCTCCCTATTCTGTATTCTTCAGCATCTCCTTTTTCTTGAAAACTCCTGATTTAATCTCAGTTCATACTTTGTACACTTTTTAAATGTCATTTTTGTTATTCTGTAATGTGATATTTTAGATAGAAAAATAGATTATAGATACAATGAATGCATCGTATTGTAGAAAAACTGGAAAATAAGATAAGCAAAAGGAGGAAATAGAAATACCTTTATTTTGAACATATTAAACATAATTGCTGTTACTGCCTTGCTATATAGTCTTTTAGCCCTTTCTCTAGTTAGAGATTTCCATACACTTATTTTTAAGTTAAATCATATGCACTCATTAGTTCACTTATTTATCAGATACTCATATGTTTTAGAGTAAGTGCAACCAAGAGTGCTCCTTAGCTGCAAGGATGGTGAAACTTTTTCTCACATTTTTTGGACTTGCCTTTAGGAGCAGTCTGTTTTTGGAAAAAGAAATCATGCTCAGAAAGGTGGAGGGTCAAAGGAAAAGAGGAAGACCCTCAACAAGAGGGGCTGACACTGTGACTGTAATAGTGAGTGTGAGCGTGTGGGAGAGCGTGAGGATGATGCAGAATAGGGCAAGATTCTCCTCTTGGACCTGTTTGTAGGCTTCTGTGAGTCATCATTGACTCCTTAGGACTTGCCAGAAATAGAATTCAACATTTTTTGCAAATACCTCTTTTAGATTATTTACTTTTTCTGTTACACAGAGGTTTTCAGTTAAGTTACTAGTTCAGTTTTTTGGTTTAACCTAAAAATTTCCCTTTAAGGTAGGGAATTAACATTGACTAACTTGAAGAATGAGAACATAGAGCCTAAATTATTTACCTAACTTATTCTCTTTATATGTCTGTTTTGTGCATTGTTTTGTTTTTTAAAAGTCTAAATTTTTCTGAAGTATGCAAAGAGACAGGGCCATGGAAAATCAAGTTAACTATGTTGAAAGAAGAGAAAAAAGTGAGAGTCAAGAACTCTCTGTCTATATTTTCCCCCTCCACCCATGATTTTATTAGCATGTACTTCTTATGTCCTTTTAACTTAAATATTTGGAAGGCAATAAAATTTGACTTGAAACTCTCTATTTCTGCTAAAAATGCAGTGTTATTAAATTGCTGTCAGTAGAGTTCAATTGTTAGAAATTAACAGTAATGAGCATGGTAATGGATTTATGGTGGGCCCATCTCTGTGGGTCTTTCATATTGTACCCATGCCAGAATAAACTGCAGCCTCGAACCATGGCCTGGCCTCCTTTCCCATGGGCACTGGAGGCTGTACACTGAGAAAACAAAACAAAACAAAAAACGAATGAAACTAGTAATAAAACTTTCTAGAAATATTTTTTTAAAAAAGTTAACAGTAATAGTACTACCCTAACCAAATCATGATGTATATTAGTCGAAGAAAGATTGGACTTTTCTTCATTATTTTTCATGTAATGTGTGTGACAGGAAAATGAAACATTTATCTCTCTGTACATCTAAAGATGAACAAGAAGCCACTTGTTGGTATAACTAGCAATTTTTTAAAAAATTCATTTTTCTTTCAGGTAATTCGGTCTGGGCAAAAATTAAAGAAAAAATCTGCTGAATCAGGCGAGAAACGTGGAGGCTGGTTTAGTGGGTTTTGGGGTAAAAAGGAATGTAAGAAAAAAGATGAAGAATCTTCGATTCCTGAAAGTAAGTTCCAGGGGAAATAACTTAATGTACATGTACAAAATTGTGTATACAGAATTCTGTTTATTTTAACATACCTTGGAAATAGATGTTTTATTTTTATATATACATGTAAATATAGTGTAATAATATTTTGTTGTATACTATCAAGTCAGAACCAACTCATAACTGCAGTACATTTTCAGAGGCAATATTTATGGGAGGAGATTGCCCATCTTTCTCCTGTGAAGCAGCTGGTGAATTTTGAACTCCTTATCACTAAGCATTTAGATTTTCCTGAGCTAATAAATATATTTATGTATGTATATATTAGGTAGCTCAATGTGCACTATATAAATAGCAAACTCTTATTCTTCTATTTAACTATTTTTTTCAGCAAACACAGTAGGATGGAATAGTTCTGTGTCTATCGCAATATAATAAAACTTTGATTTCTTTGAGACTAGGGATTTATAGTTCAACATTTACTATTACTTGTTACTTATTATGGATATTTGGTTATAAATTATACATAAGTGTTTTTATAGGAATTCTAAAATCCTTACATGATTATGAATTTCCTTAATGGTATATACTATCTTGTTTAAAGTAATTAAAGTAGCATATTAGAAGTAGCTTTAGTATTATTTGTATCTGTTGGTTTTAGGATACTTTTAAAATTTATTTGATTTGTAGATTATTCTGCACAACTGAAGTAATTGATTTATTAAAATATTTAGTTTTTTCTTTCTAGCTATTGATGACCTTATGACTCCAGAGGAAAAAGCCAAGCTCTTCACTGCTATTGGTTATAGTGAGACTACCCACAACCTCACCTTACCTAAGCAGGTAAGGTTTAATTTTATTGTATTCTCTTAAGTTGATTTAAACAAGTAATGACTTCTTAAGTAACGCATTTAAAATAGCTATCATTTGTTTAGTTTCACTTAATATGATATTTAATTAGTAATTCTTTATGTCATATCTTACTAATGAAAATGCTTATTTTTAAGAGTGTTTTTTTTTTTTTTAATTTATTGGTACTTTTTGTGTCCTGTTAAAAAAACCCAACACACCCCAACCTCCAAACCATAAAGTCTTTTTCTAGAAGCTTTATGTTCCTTTTTACACTTAGCTCTACTGTTCATCTGGAGTTGATATTTTGCATGTGATATGGGTTCAGATTTATTTCCCCCCCATAAGCTTGTCTACTTGAGCTTGATTGAATTGTTGTTGTTGTGTGCCATCAAATTGAAACTGACTCTTGGTTGACCCTCCAGCAGATTTTCAGAGATAGTAAATTGCTTGGGAGGAGATTGGCCATCTTTCTCCCACAGAGCATCTTATGAATTCAAACAATATACTTTAGGATTGGCAGCACAATTTCTTACCACTAGGCCACCAAAGCTCCTTAACTTGAATTATTATGAATCCATCTTTTTTTCATTGCTTTCCAAGTACTATTTTATTATCAATCATCTATTTTTCTGTAGAATGTCTGTTCTCTTATAGTGACTATTTTTCTCTCTGTAGTTTTGGTCACTATAACTTTGTAAGCTATCCTCTTATTTAACTGTTTGGTTTTAATGATTGTCTTATCCTTGGACATTTTCCTTTCCAATTTAAATTTTCATATCTACTTGGATGATTTTTATTTTATTTAATATGGAAATGAATTTTGGGAGATTTAGCATCTCTGTACTATTGAGTATTCTAATTCATTGATATATTCCTCTATTCTCTTTAATTTCTTTCCATAGTCGTTTATATTTTCCTGGTTATAAGTTGAATATTTTTGTTTAATTTGTTACCAATGGGATCTTTAAAATTTTTCTTTTTCTTTTTACTACGAAATACAGTTCTTAAGGTTCATATTGATGAATTTGAATGCCAATAAGTCTATGTAATGACCACCCAGAACAAGATAGAGAACATTGCTATTCCCTAGCCAGTTCCATATGACATTTTCTAGGTTTTACCCACCTTGCAAATATAGCCACTTTATGGCTATATTACTGTAGATTACTCTTTACAGATTATGCAATTTTATTTTGTTTCTTTTTCTCAGTATGATCCTTTTATATTTATCTGTGTTGTGTCTATCAGTATGTTTTTCCTTTTTTATTGATGTCTAGTATTCCATTAGGGAGTTCTGGGGGTTTAGTGGCAAGAAGCTGTACAGCAATCCCAAAGACATGTAGTTTGAGGCTACCAGCTGCTCTGTGGGAGAAGGATGAGGATGGGCAATCTCCTCCTATACGATTAACTACCTCTGAAAACCCTCTGGAGGTTCAGCCATGGGTCGCTTACAACTCGCTGGTACACAGCAACAATAACAATAACAATATTCTGTTGTATGAATATACAGCAAACTTTTATCTATTGGCCTGTTGATATATGTCTTTGTTGTTTGGTTTGGTTATAATGAATAAGGCTGCTGTGAATGTTAAATACTCAGCAGTGGAATTGCTAGATCATAACATCATCACTTTTTAAAATTAATTTTAATTAACTTTTACAGAGATTTTGGGTTTCCATTCATTCATTGTTACATTTTTCTCCCTGCCCACCCCTCCCCCCCAGTTCACTCTTCTCTTTGAAAAGTGTAAGAAAAATTCTTTCATTGGTATACAATCCCTCCCCAGTACACTCCATTATGCAACCTTTTAAGAAAGTATGAAACAAATCTCCAAAAAGGTTGTAATATTTTCTACTGCTATCAGTAGAAATTTTTCCACATTCTTGCCTCATTTAGCATTATTTGACTTTTAAATTTTAACCACTTTAATGGTATGACATGTTAGTCCATTATGATTTGAATTTGCATGTCCTAATGACTGATTATGTGAACTCCTGTTGTCTGTAAGATTATTCTACTGAGCTGGTTTTTGCCCAGTTGTATTTCAAGTATCAACAAGTTCAACCATGATGGAGAGGTTTCAAGAGAACTTTTAAGACCAAGACAAACTAGGCAGAAGGATGTGGTGATTCACACCTTATGAATAGCATAGCACATTGTTTGATATAGGGTCAGAAGATGAACCCCTTTGGTTAGAAGGTACTTAAAAATATGACTGAAGACAGTGCTTAATCCTCAAAGTAGAGTTGACTTTGTTGTTGTTGTTGTTATGTGCCGTTGAGTCGCTTGTGACTCATAGCGACCCTATCTACTACAGCCCTAAACTCTGCTCTGTCCTGTGCCAGTCGCACTGTCTCTGACACTCCCATCCCGATTGTCCCAGTCACTGAATCA